TGCCTTACGGTACTTCAAGGTGCCATATGATGATGATGTATAGAAACCAGTTTTGTATGGTACAAATGTTTTTGTTTTTAAAACTTAAATTTCTGGAGCTGTGATCGCTGTTATTGACTGTTAAATCATAAATGTTCTCATCCAAATCCTCATTTGAATCATTTAGCTACTGAAATAAATAAATCAAAAATGTTATAAGTAGACATCTAAGTCTTATTTGTGCATCTGTCGGAGGCTCTGAGTTTTATATTTAATTCTAGTTTTTGCCTATTGAGCCTCAAACACTGCAGCAATACATTTATATGCAAGACAGGGTCAGAGGTTTATTCTCTTTTGATCTTTCAATGGTTCAAAATAAACAATGAAAAGGTTTTTATGAATCCTTTCCAGAAGCTTCTCAGCAGAAAGGGATTTCTGAGAGATCAGTGGTTCTTGGCCGTTTTAATATTTAATTAAACAGATTTAAATAACTTTCTCAAGCAAACTGTTTCAACGCTACTATTATAGCAATTCAGCACTCTCTCCTCCTATGTATTTATGCCAAACCTGACAACATTATATAACATTATATATAATAGAAAAAAAGGGTAAGTGTAATAGGTCCCCTTTAAACATACTAAAATAAGTATTATTACATTATCAGCTCCAATTACCTTTTTAATTGTTTTTAACCCAGCTATTTTATGTACAAAAGGTAATTCATTTATTGATTCAACCAATTACGTTATTATCAACTTATTATTAAGAACTGAGACATTATTACGTTATTGCCAGTTATTACATAGTTATTACATTATTGGCAGCTACAAGCCACCATCTGTGCTGCCTCCACTTAGAAAAGGCTTTAGATGCACAGCAGCATGAGCCGCTGACACTTGACAGTGTATTTCTTCGAGAATGTAAAAAAGTGGAAATGTTAAAATGTTGGTGCCATATTCCTGTCACCTCACGAGTGGCTACTCGATTTACAATCTCAGTAGCTAAATCCAGACTGTGTCAGATGAAGGTTAAATTAAGGAAGTCTAAATCAGACATGACATCTGCAATGTTTCTTGTTACTGTACACACTGGCCTTGGAAATAATGACGACATATGCCCAATACTGTGAAAATGTGATGCCTGCAATTTATTATTAGTCTTGTTTGGCAATTCAAGGTAAAGGGTTTTCAAGAAAATATTCATGTTTGTCAGTATGTTCAGATTCTTTATTTATTATTTTTTTCAGAGAGAGACATTGAAAGATTCAGACAAATAAAATGTCCCTGGCTCACCCGTATCGTATCTTCAGCTACCCTATCTAATAAAAGGGAAGAAAATTAAAAAATGTAAATGTCCCTGAATGTTCAAAAATGCCTTACACTTCCATTTCACTTAAGGATGCAGGACTGCACTGAAAGAGAATTATAATAATAATATAATAGAAAATAAATAAAACATATTCTATTCTGTCAATTATTTTGCCTTACAGTATTGGTTGATTACTGCCCAGTACTGTACACACAGTTCCCAGTTGGACTTTTCTTTTTACCTTTTATGTCAATGGTTTGTGAGTCATCTCTCTCCATTTCTAGACAAAGGGGCCTCTGCATGAGGTGGCAGCTTGAGGGTCACACAAAGATTACTAAAGTATCATTCGTATGACACACTGAATCAGTGTAGTCACTTGTGAAAAACATAATTTGTTGGTGCCAAAGCCATTTTAAATCAATGCTGAGAAATAAATCTGTTTCATAATGTAACACTGCTGCGGTTAAGGTTTGGTTGGGTTTAGGTACAAAAACTATTTGATCAGAGAAATATAATGGTTTGGGTTAAAATTACTTCTTAGCGGTACCTTCTGATAGAAGACCTTCATTGTCATGGTTAAAAGAAACCAATGCCTACTATTAATGCATAGAAACAAACTGGCAGGATAATGCGGCAGGATAGAAGACAAAATTAGGACTAATGAGAAGGTGGTGGAGGCTATATATTTTCCTATCAGAAAAGGTGAAGGTGAAGGCAGATGCAGTGTTCGGCTATCCCCATAGAATGTTTAGCAGTACATTTGCCCAAGTTGACTCTTTCATAGTGAGAGGCTACCAGGACTGAAAACATGCTGCTGAGAAAGACAGGGGTTTTCAAACACTCACCTTCAAAGTGTTAAGGTGGATGCATGAGCATGGAGCATGAGAGGTGCATTGATATGTGGCAAGGGGGCTTCCACACTCCTCGGTGCTGACCAGCTAACTAGAAACTGGTACTATGTGTCTTTTCTTATTTATGTTGCGGGATTTCTCAGGGAAAATCAGCTGCTTTTTGGATGAATTTGAATTGATCATATGGATCAAGGATATGACAGAAGACACTTTTAAACTACACAGTCCAAAAATACCTTACGCTGTGACCCTACTGACGCAGACACTGAGTGAGTGTGGGAAATGTTGGTGTGTGATTATCAAGTTTGTAATGTGTTTTGTATCAAAGCACGGCTTGTTAAGCATTACCTTAATACTGATGTCAGTGGTCTGGGTTTGCTTGTCATATAGTGGTATTGGCATTTTTACCCCATAAAAGTATACGTTTTCATCTTTAAACACGTTCAATTTAGGGCTACAGGGCTGCTATAGGAAACATTTAGTAGTTAGATCTTGACTTCCTTCATACCAGTCTGGTCCAGTCCCACTGGATGAGTTTGAAGAAGTAAAAAGGTCATCTTAAATATTATTAGGTACCTGATAAGCATTCTTGATATTTGCAAACCTCCAGAAAGCCTGTTGGGTCAGTGATCCCAGTACATATGCAACACCTGATCAGAAATCCAATGTGATTAATGTGAGCAGCTGCCTCATTTGTGCTTAGTAGTTTAGACAAAATGAAGGACTGTTACGAATTTTGCACATGTTGTTTCAAAACCAGGACCATGTGCTGCTGGAACATATCATAACAACAATGGAGGAAGCGGTTAAAAAGTGTATATTTGATGGAAAGCATAATAACTATACTGACTGATGTTTTCAGCATTATGTGCACTCATGTGGGTAACATCACAGCTACGAGTCAGATTAAGGACTAATTTTCTCTCAGCAAAGGGGAGGAGTTTGACTGGTGCAGTTTATATGGAATAGGAGCCATGTACAGATGGTAGTTTTCATATGGGCATATGAATAAGTTGGTTAAACATAAATTAAATTAAATTGCATATTGATTACAATAAGGTTAACTGGGTCAGAGGATTTAAGCTGGGGGGGCACATGGATATCTGGATTTCTTTGATTTTGATTTTATTTTGTATTTTATTTTATTACTCTTATCTTTGTTTTGTTTCTTCCTTTACATTATGAGTTAAACATGTTCTTCTAATTATAATCTGCATTTCCGTACAGAATTAGTTTTATTCCAAAAGTTGCAGGATGAAATCAGTTCCTAAGATTAGGTATGCACACACACTCACACACAGGGCGGCTGTGGCTCAGAGGCAGAGCGGGTCGTTCCTTAATTGGAAGGTTATGGGTTTGATCCCACAACCTTGTCGAAGTATCCCCGAGCATCGGTGTGTGAATGCGTATGAATGTTAGTTTCTGTTCGATGGACTTTGCCATCACTGAGTGAATGTGTGTGAAAGGGTGAATGTGGCACGTAGTGTAAAAGCGCTTTGAGTGGTTGGAAAACTAGAAAGGCGCTGTACAGATCCGTTTACCATTTACACAGCACTCTGTTGCACATCAGTGCTGGAGGACAGGATATAACTTAGTGATGTGTTCCTGAGTTAGTCAGTAGAGCATCAATCTCTTTTTAAAATGTGTGAAAATTTAATGCAGTTAGGATTCCTGTCGGAGCCTTGCAGACAAACTTTCACCTAAACATGAAAGTCTTACACTTGGCTATTATTTTCCCCCTCTCTCCGCCCCTCTCTCTAGTCACTGTATATCAGCATGTGTAGGTGTAGTTTCAGGTTACATGTTCTTGGCGAGTGGTGATGATAGATATTTCAAGAAGGCTGAACATTTTGGGAAATAAGATACTAATGCTCACTCTTAATGGAGCAGACACTGCAATGTGACGTCAGTACAGTCTTATCTGTATCATGCTTCTTCATGTGAATGTTTTGGAAAAAATATCTTCATATTGGAAGATTCCTTTCATCTGTGGCTTTATTATCTATGTTCTCTAAATTATATGTAGATAGATATATGTACATTGTAGATGTAGTGTTTTTATGTAAATGTATATTACCCTTAAAATGTTTGGGTGAAGCAGACAAGATCTAGCTCTTTATTAAGAAAAGTGGCAGGAGTGTAGAAGCAAGTGTAGAAATAAGTGAATGAGTGTCATTTTAAGTAACCTTAATAGCTCAAATAATAGACATAGAAATCTCTGAATAGATATAAAGCATACATAAAGCATTTACCCTAATATAAAGCAAGAGGTTACTGAGCTACAAAAACAAGCCCCTAAAGTATTTGGATATATAGGCCTATGTAAAATTGCAGACAATTGCGTCATTATTATCTTTTTTTTCGGGGGAAGGACCCCCATTGATGCCTCTTACTCTCATTGTGCCCCCCCTCCAGGAATTCTAGCTTGCCTGACACCCCTAAATTGGGTTTCTGTGTCTGTGGTGCTATAATAGGTGTTCATTTTGTCTTCCACAAACTGTATTATAGGCAGCACTGCAGATTATGTGAGCCAGCTGCACTTTTCATGCTACTTTTTTTTTCTCTGCCCCTTGATTACTTAATAGGTTGTTTCATCATGTTTCCCACTGCAGACTTAACAGATAATTTAATAAAAACCTTCATCTCCCTTTTCAGCAAAACTCCACAAGCTGGATTTACTTGTAGAGGAAGGCGGCGCCTATATCTGCTTTCTGACGGTTTCTTTCTCCTGCAAATAAAAGGTTAGTATACAGTGATGTCAGAGATGTACAACCCGTGCCTCAGATTAGTGTGTAGTGAGTAGTTTGTATTTGATGTACAACCCACCGAGAGGCAAAACATACTAAATATGTTTTCTCTTACCTGGGGGAGCGAGAGGATTACACTCATCGTCCAGGCCACAGTCAACATGATTTTGCTTTTCCTTTTGGCCTCACTGATGCCTAGAGGATTGAGGATGGCAGACTGCCTATCCAAACTAATGACCACAGTTACAAAGGCGCAGGAGTACATCGCCACCAGTTTCAAGAACATCAGCAGCCTGCAGGCGACGTCTCCCGCCTGCCACTGCACCGTGATGTTCCACACCGCGTCCACAGGCATCACGATAAAAGTCACCAGCAGGTCCGCCACCGTCAGGTTCATGATGAGGATCCTGACGTGTGACTTGCGCTTGCCGCCGTTGCTGGCAGCCCACAGCACAACCAAATTGCACACAGCTGACACTGCGCACAGAGTAAAGGTGATGATGACCCTGACTTTGGCCGCGGTGGAGAAAGTAGGCAGCTGGAGCGCGTCTCCATCCGCGCTCTTATTGCACACCGAAGTGGGTCCCTGGCAGCTGCCATTAACAGTTTGATCCGTCAGATGGTGGAACATAATGAACACCGGAGCCTGACTGGGTGGAGGCACAAATAATGATCCGGGCTACTCCTAGACTGTGTCTTTCTTCTTTATGTGCATCCCCAACTGGAACTTCAACTGTGGAAACTGAGAAAAGAAAAATGAATTACTGTTTTTAATGCTCGACTGGATCTGTATGATGTATTCATGCCACCAGGTGCAGGAGCTGTGCGTTACCTGAACATGGTTACACGTCGTTAAAACTGTAGGAGTTCCTGGCACGTGTAGCTCTAATTAACGTACAGTGTTATATTACTTTTATCTGATATTCAGAAGCATGTAAAGTGATCACACACACCGTGATAGGCAAGGCACTAACAAGCATTGTGTAAAAGAAAAGGAGTTATCATTAACATTATTAAAGGTAATGGAAAGAATGATGTTGAGGTTCAGTTATTTGCTGAACTTCTAACTCTCCTCCTCTTTAATTTACCCACGGCTCCACAGTCATTGATTATCCCAATTAAAGAGTTTTTTTTATTTAGAGTAAAGGAGGGAGAGAGGGAGAGAAATCATAATTGAAACAATATTCGACGCAGACAAAAATAATTTGCTTACCTGCAATTAGGAGCGGAGCTCACAGTGAGCGCTAATGGGGATCTCACTGAGCGTATTTCTACTGCAGTCACTGCAGCTGTTGCTTCAGTCCGTTTCATTCCTCCGCACTGACGCGCACAATGACAAGCGACAGTGTCAGCCAGGATGGCTTGATGGTATATGAACCACGGTACCTCCTCTTCCACGGGAGGGAGGTGGGGGTTGTGTGTGTGTGTGTGGGGGGGGTGATGGTGGAGGGGGTTCTACTTAAGTATCCTGACATGACCTTAGATAATAATTTGGAGGCTCTACATAACTGGTATAGCGAGAGCGATGCTGCATGTTATTATCTGTGCATCCCCAGGTGCGTTTATGCAGACTTTACACATATTTTTACGCTGCCAGGAGGATTTTATCCTGTAAATCCAGTGTTTTATTATTCTGTGGAAACGAAATCTCGGGGCTGTATTTTATTTCGGCTAAAGGGCAAACTGAGATTGTTTCCTCTGTGTCTCGCCGTGCGCCACAGGAGAGGCGCGGTGGAGGGTGTGCCAATCTAGCGGCGCACTACAATCTTGGTGCCAAGAATGACTGCGTCTCGCCCACCTGCTCAGAGCAGGTCGACAGACGAATGCACTTAATACTTAATCACTTCGTTAAACACATCCATATAAACTTCTTTAAAATCACCTAAACCCCTCTATTCATGTATTTGCTCGTCTTTCCAGCTGTGATCAAACATAGTTTTTATTATTATTCCGGTTGAGGTATATGTCAGCAAGGCAGAATAAAGATCAATGAGTGATTCATTACAGCTCTGTCATTTAAGACAGTCTGTGAGTGTGAAGGCGTTTCCTTTCCACTGGCGACCTACAGCCACATGAAGGCATCAGGTATCTGTTCCACCTGCAGTCTCTAATTACAGTGATGTTGCCACTGTCAAGCCACAATTAGATTTTAAGCAACCAGCCTCGCGTCAAACAAACTCAAGCTTTTGATTAGTTATTCTGCAGTTCCGAAATCAGAGACTTGTGCGTTGAAAACAGTTCCACAAAATGAATTTAAAACATCTATCTACGCTAATACCTCCCTCAGGACCGTCCGTTCCTGCCACTCTTCAACCGGTGTCTGCATCCAAAACACCGGGTCACCGGGGTAACAGCTGCAAGCGTCATCTTTATTTTAATGAGTCTTCCCGAAGTGCTGCCTGGAGCTCCACGTTTTTAATTATGATAGAGGTAGACTTGGGCATGTGATGAGCAACATGATATGGTTTAAATTTTAAAGTGTTGTTCTCAGAATAAAAATACTTAAAACTTAACTTAACATTCGATTTCTTTGTCGTTATAGCAGGATCGGGTTCAATATGAAGGTTAAAGAGGCAACGATTCCCTTCCCAGATTCTCAGCAATTATTTTAGGTCACATTTAACTTAATTAAACATGATTGCACAACATCCAAAAATCTAGACCACATATTAAGTTCTGCTTTCATTATTTTATGGCACTAAGGTAGTACTGAACCGTATTAATTGTATGGATCAGTGTGATAACAATTTAATCAGGAGAGACGAATGATTGAAGTAAAGATAATTGCTTATGATGATTATTCTTTGGCGCTTAGACTCTACTGGGAGATTGTTGTGATGGAGGTGCTCCTGCCCTAAACGGCAGCAAGTTACATCCCCCATGGAGACAGCAGAGGTGAATTGCTCAGCGGTTCTGGCGTGCGCACCCAGTGCTGCACCGAAAATAATTACGGAGGAATAAATTCACATTGGGGCATCAGTACTGCTGACTGGAACTTTTCTCATGCAGTGAAACTTTATTGACACATGCTCATTGACATTCACACGCACATAGGTCAACACCCCCGCATCTCATTGACTGTTATCACTGTTCATCATTCACTACTTGAATGAAGTTTGGCCTTTGTGACAAAACAAAGATATTTCCACAAAGTGAGAGCACAGTTTTAATATATGTTAAGAGAGACACTGGTGGTGGTGGTTGTTGACTCTGCTGAGGCTGATGGAACTAACAAAGCTGATGAATCTGCAAAGACTAGGCAGTGATGGGGAGATGGAGGGGCTGGCATAGGAGAAGCATGAATGAAGGCAGAGAGAGGGAGAGAATCTTATTTAAGAAAGACATCAGCAAGAGAATAGGCTAAGGATGCATGTCCATGTGTTATTGACCAGCTGATGAGAACAGCTGATATCAGGATTAACAGTCTCTGATCTTGAAATTATGCATGCATGAGAGGAGTAGATGCAGGATGGAAAGAAAAATTAACAACAGGCCTGTATACAAAAGAATAGTCTTCCTGAACTTTCGCAGACTCATATAAAATGGTGCACCATTACACATTGAAACTATTGTGACCATCGGATCTCGAACACATCCATAAAAGTGAATTAAATTAAAAAAGTGTCATGGCAGTATACTTGAGCTGCTGTATTCATGTCCCAGACAACAAAAAGTTTCCTCTGAGGAAAATCTGCTCGATTCTAAACTGTCAGTGCATCAAAAAGGGAAGAGCTCAGCTAGGTTTAAAGGGAATAAAAGTGAATGTGATTGGAAATGATTGTCACAGCCTCTAACACACCCAAGTTTTTCTGATTTTTATAAACATAAACAAGTATTTGTCACTTGCTTAGGGCATCCTCGAGTATCTTCTTGTCTTTCTCTCTAACTGGATCTTTTCCAGCAGGATATGTCACAAACCACTGGGAGCATAAGAAATACGTTTATTTTGTCGCTTATGTTTAGTTGTCTAGCTCTCTATCCGGAAAGGAAAAAAGCTATTTTCTTTATACAGGCCATTAGATTACAAGGAAAGAGAAGATGGAGACATTAATGAAAGGAGAATGAGAGAGAGAATTGTGAGCAAGAATGTAGGAGAAGTGGACCTGAAGGGATGAGGGGAAGGGATTTGAGTTACTGTACATTTATGATTTCACAGTGTATCACAATGGTGCCTCACTGCTGGTGCATCCGAACAACACCTTGAACTCTCTTGACTAGAGGAAAACCAACCATAGAATATTTATCCACACCAGTGTCATGAGGGTAGTCTTAATACACAACTGTAAGGCTATGTCATTATCATGAAATTAATTAATTAATTAGGATGTTCAGTATCAGGACATATTACAATATGGCAAATGCTTGCAAAATCATCAAACTGATGTTCAAAGCATGAATTGTGAACGAGGTTAAGTTAGCAGTTCTCCCAGGACCCTTGTCCTCTGGTGGTCTCATAGTCTCAAAATCCATTGCATGTCAGTTGATTTGTGGTCATTTGTTTGGGAATATTCAGGGGGGGCCTGGGGTGACACTGGCACGAGTTACCCTTTACAGGCATGCCCAGATTATGCCAATCCCATGCAGTGTGTGCAAAAAACATGCAGTTTTTAGCATGTGGTATAAATGTGTTATTTTCACCTAGTGTAGCCTATTTGAATATTTCTGCATACTGGGGTCCATAAAAAGTATTGGAATACTATAAATTGGAAATGACTGGAAAGGTGAGACACATACTTAATGCATGCATATGTTGCTGCCCCACTTGTGCAGCCCCCGTCAAAAAAGTCTGGATACGCCACTGAGAATATGCACAATAAGATCACAATCTTAACTCAAATTTGAAAGGCCTCAAAGCTGTCTTGCACTGCTACCTGTCTTGTAGAGGAGAACTGTGTCCAAATGTACATATGTATATTCTTAAATAAATGTATTCATTGTTTAGAGTGATTATAATAAATATTTTAATAATAACAACTATTAAAGTACTACAAGAAATGTGTTGCTCCTATTGATGAGTATTGTTTGAGAACTCTGCAGCTCCTCTTGGCTCTACAGATAACCACTAAACCGCTGCAGTTGCTGGGGTTGCCAGCCAGGCAACTTCACAGTTTTGGTACACTCTCACAGCTCTCATAGTGTTGTTTTTGGTGTTTTTTTAAAAAAAAAAAAAAAATTAAAAACCACTGCACACTACCTGCTCATCACAAAATAGCAGGCAGAGAAAGTTAGTAGCTTTCTGTAGCTGAACATAGCAGAGCATTTAGCAGCTAAAAAGCTGGGTAATTCCCCTCAGGAACTGGTAGAGACCAAAAACGGAGCTAAAAGAGAGTAACTATTGGACTTACCTTTGCCAGGTGACCAGATATACAACTTCAAATGATAATGTTGTTCGTCTGCTGGATGTGTTAATAAGACACTGTTTGCTAACAAGTTTTCCCTACCAGCTCAAACACTAGTGATGTCAATATTGTCCCTAACAATTCCCTTCATTTTGTCAACTAAAATGTTTGTCCTGGCACCTTTTAAACCCTAGAAAATAAGTCTCAGTGGAAAATAGAGAATTAAAAAAGTGCAGGGACTGAATTCTACTGACTTACTGGTATGTTTGATCTGCAGTGAGAAATTAGCATTAAAAGGCTCATTTGGAATGATTGTGAAGACTGCTGACCTCTGCCCTAGAGATTTAATCCAGTCATGGTTCCACTGTTACATATTAAATGAGTTCAAACACATTAATAACAAACTTTAGTTTTTAATTTGTTCAAAATCCTTAATTTGGATAACAGAAGCAGCTCATAGTCACAATATGATTCTGTTAAAAGCTGATTAATGATACTATTGAATTATTAAATTGACCCGTCACTACTGGCTGCTACACATAGGAAACAAGGCTAAGGCCCTCATTCATCTATGTGGTAAGGAATAATGGTCACATGTGACAGACACAGCAGGATTGTCACAAATTGTAGCGTTGTCACAGTCAAAGATTTTTTTAGAGTGCACATTCTCCTACATATGTAGACTCCCTCCAGAATAAAGGTCGAAGTCTGCTCATCTTTTGACGCATTTAGTAAGTAGGTCATGCATCAAGAGCCACCAGAGGTGCAGAGCCCTGTACTGAAGAGTGTCAATGTGTGTCATATGTTGTATATACTGCAAATACCCAACATTAGCAACCCAAATGACATCACTGTGAGCAAACAAGCTAACTGACTCACATTTTATATCAAAATGTCAAATAATCTTTATAGTATTGATTTAAAAGCTGTCTTGTAGTAAAAACTGTTAGTATAATCCCCTCTAACTGAATATC